TGCCCTGGAAGCCCACCTTGTAAGTTTTGCTTCCCCTCCCCACAGCTCCCGCCTCGGCCTGCCTCCTGCTGATGCTCCTGGCCCTGCCCCCAGCGGCCCCCAGCTGCCCCATGCTCTGCACCTGCTACTCATCCCCACCCACTGTGAGCTGCCAGGCCAACAACTTCTCCTCTGTGCCGCTGTCCCTGCCACCCAGCACTCAGCGACTCTTCCTGCAGAACAACCTAATCCGCACGCTGCGGCCAGGCACCTTCGGGCCCAGCCTGCTCACCCTGTGGCTCTTCTCCAACAACCTCTCCGCCATCTATCCGGGCACTTTCCGCCACTTGCAAGCCCTGGAGGAGCTGGACCTCGGTGACAACCGGCACCTGCGCTCGCTGGAGCCCGACACCTTCCAGGGCCTGGAGCGGCTGCAGTCGCTGCATCTGTACCGCTGCCAGCTCAGCAGCCTGCCCGGCACCATCTTCCGCGGCCTGGTCAGCTTGCAGTACCTCTACCTCCAGGAGAACAGCCTGCTCCACCTACAGGTGAGCCTGCCCTGCGCCCACCCTCAGCCCCTTTCTGCTTTCCTGTCTCTGTGGGCCCCTCTGCTCCCCCATCCTGGCGTGCGTCCCTCCTCTCTCCCCAGGCCACCCTTCCTGCCTCAGCATCTCCATTTCTCTCTGTCTCTGTCTGTTTTCTAAGTTTCTATCTCTTTCAGATTCTCCAGGGGCTTTACTTTGTCCCTTCTGTCTCTCTACCTGTGTAGGTCCCTTGCTGCTCCTCTCTCTCTCTCTCTCTCTCTCCCTCTAACTCCACAACCTTCACCTCTCTGCCTCTGCCTATCTGTCTGTCTATCCCTTTCCATCCATCACTGCCTCTCTCACTAACTTGCCTCCCCCATCTGTCTTCTGCCTCTTCTGTCTGTCTCCCTTCACACACCCACTCTGCATACACCCCCATGTCTGTCTGCGTGTGTGTATCTGTCTCTTTCTCTGATCTCACGTGTTTGCCTTCAGGGTACTCTGCCTTCCCCCAAGGTCCACTGCCCAAAGGCCTTTGCAGCTGTTTTTCTCACCCACCCTCAAGTCTGCCCACATCACAGGGAAGTAGAGAGAGAAGGCAGAGCCACAGCCACTGGCATCCCACAGAAAGTTGCGCTTCTCTCCAATTCACTGGGTAATGGGACGGGAGAAGCCCACACCCCTTCTAGATTCTCGTTGTCCAAACCTGTCAGCTCAATGCAGGGGAAGAAAGAAAAGGGTAAATCTCTGTTATGCAGCTGGAGAATGGATGCTCTGAAAATGGAAGGAATAACAGTAATTGTTATTTATTGTTATTATTATTGATCTAATTATTGTTTATTGTTGTTGTTATGCTGACTGTTTGACACGCAAATCCTCCCGCTCCATTTCCCCAGGAAGCAATAACACACCCTCCAAACCACCCTGAGAAAATCTTCCCTTGGCTACAGAGCCTCTGGCTGGAAGGGGGTGAGGATATCCAAATTCTGCCCTCTCCCTACTGGAACCTGGAAGGTGCTGCCTCTGCCTCATCCAGGGCTAGTGCCTAACTAGTTACCAATCTGCTGGTTGGAAAATCAGGTCAGTGCTGATGATGCTAATGATAATAACAATAGCCATAACAATCTAACAAACATACTGAGCGCCCACTACGAGCTAGGTGCTAAGAATACAGCACTGAACAGAACAGACCAAACCCCCTGCCTTCGCAGAGATACCATTCCCATGAGGAGGGGAAGAAGTAAAATGCACAGTATATTGGAGAAATATGTCTTCTGTTATTCTATTGTTGCCTAAATAGTGACAGTAATAGCAGTAGCCGCCACCACTTAGTGGGTACACAGGGTCAGTCCCTGTGCCAAGCTCTTTACAGGTATCCACTCTGCCATTTGTGGCTTTTTTTTTTTTAAACCTCCTCAGACCTCAGTTTTCTCATCTGTACAATGGGGGTAGCAAGAGCACCCATCTCCTAGGGATTTTGAAAGCATTAAATGCATGAATAATTTGTAAAGCACTTAGAATAGTGCTTGGCATACGGTAAGTGCTATATAAATGCTTGTTAAAATACTATTTTAAAAAAAGAAACGAGCCTTATTTAACATTGGTTTCGGTGAAGTGGCCCAACTTGGACTCCATCCTGAAGATGTGGGTCAACTTCAAGGATTATACTGAGGTCATGAGTGAGTCCCAGACAACACCCCCCTTTTGTCCTCTTCCTAAATTTGCCTAGCACCTCACGGTTTATGAAGTGCACTCAGCCACCTCATCTCATTTCTATAGCCCAGTTGGGAGATTATTTTTGCCTACTTGTTAACAATGGAGAAGCTGAGGCTGGGGGCCCTGAAGACTCTATAGAGATATAGTCGCCTCTAATCATAAATCTTTCAACCACTGTCGATGTGACTGGAGGCTCATGTCTTCTCACCATCACGTTCAGCCTCACAACAGCCTGGTGATAGGGACAGTTAGGGGCACTAGGGACATGGAACGAATGTTCCTGAGGCCATATAGCCAGGAAGAGCTGGTGCTTGAACCTCGTGGTCTGCCTACAAGGGGACAGTACTCTGGAGTACCATGAGCAGGCTCATGTTTGAAAGCACACACTTTGGACTCAGCAAGACCTACGTTCAAATCCTGGCTCCTATATAACTTTGGACAAATTACTTAACTTCTCCCAATCTCCATTTCCTCATCTCTAAAATGGCAATCAGGATAGTACTAAATAATAACCTTTTTTTTTTTGAGACGGAGTCCCGCTCTATCGCCCAGACTGGAGTGCAGTGGTACGATCTTGGCTCACTGCAGCGTCTGCCTCCCAGGTTCAAGTGATGTTCCTGCCTCAGCCTCCTGAGTAACTAAGATTACAGGCGTGTGTCACCACACCCAGCTAATTTTTGTATTTTTAGTAGAGACGGGTTTCACCATGTTGGCCAGGCTGGTCTCCAACTCCTGACCTCAGGTGATCCACTCGCCTCGGCCTCCCAAAGTGCTGGGATTACAGGTGTGAGCCACCGCACCCAGCCAGTAATAATCCTTATTTAAGAAGTTTTGTAAGGATTAAAATGTAAGGCATTTAGCACAAGGCCATACTCTCAAGATATGGGCACTATAATACTAATTACTACTACTACTACTACTACTACTACTACTACTGCTACTACTGAAATCAAATACTACTACAAATTGATCATGCATTTAATGCTTTCAAAATCTCCTTATCAATATATATTAGTTGTTTAGGAGGAATTTGGAGTCAGAGGTCCTGAGCTTGAATCCCTGGTCTGCTATTTTCTGACTTATTTAACTTTAGGCAGGTTGCTAACCCTCTCTGAACCTCACTTACTTTATCTACAAACTGGGAATAATGAAAATAATACCTTCCACCAAGAATGGCTGTAAATAGGAAACGAGTTAGTGTATAGAAAGCCCATAGTTCAGGCCTGGTATGGTGGCTCATGCCTGTAATCCCAGCACTTTGGGAGGCCAAGGTGGGTGAATCACTATCTGAGCTCAGGAGTTCGAGACCCAGCGGCAGACTGGTGAAACGACCATCTCTACTAAAAACCACCCAATCTACGCAGCCGCATCCGGTTCGCGGCGCTCTAATCCTCGCCACTAGGGAGCGCTAAGGCAGACGAACTCACTCGTTGAACCCTGCGGAGCGCGACGCGTTCCAGTGCTGGATCATGCTATGTACCTAGCTAGGGAGCGAGCAACGCTCCTCCAACGCAATGAAACAGAACACGAACAATAGTCTCAGTGCTGACACACGTTCCCTGCTCCGCGCCGCGGTTATCATGTATGATCAATCCTCCATTGACCTCGGCCAAGAGACAGCAACAGGACCTGAGGACGCAACGGCTTGGGTCAAGCAGGGCCCCTCGCGCGTGGCAAACTCGACCGCTCTCTGACTCAGCAGTTCGCTCGCGCTCGCATGATGTAGCCAGGCATCATCGGCAGGAGCACGTCCCTGGCCTTTAATAGACGACATCCGAAACAAACAGCTCTGCTGGAACTGCTGGCGTGGCCGCGCGGCTCGGGACAGCACCGCAGGACCGCGCTGAGGAACATATGTCCCTGGCTTGCGGCGTGACGATCTGGGCAGGCGTACCACGGTGTCGACACGCCACGACTCGCGCCAGGCCTTCACGCCTATAAGAGCAGCTTGGAGGAAGCTCACCAGCAGAACCACAGCTTTTCAGACTGCCAGGTAACCCCGAGCTGCCGTGGGTGGAGGTTCTCACGGGCCGCTCGGCTGTATGCCCTCATGCTGCTGGCCAGGAGCGTTCATTCATCACCAGACTATTCTAGCCTGCGTACCTACCACCACACCCGTGCCAGGGGCATGATTCTCCTCCCCACTCCCGGCGGCCCTTTCGTTTCCCAGGGCTAGATTCGGCAAGAGACAGTCCGCCCTGTTCCACGCCAGCTTTCCCCTACGCTCAGTATCACCGACCAGCATGAGTAAGATACCCTCTGTTACTTTTTTACCTTATCATTATCCTCCGCCATTAATCTTGATAGTCTTCCGCTGCCCTTCTGCAGGCTGGAGCTCGCGTCCGGCAACGCTCTCGGCTCCCTGCACACTCTGCCTCCAGTTCAAGTGCTCGCCTGCTCCGCCTCAAGTACGCCCTGGGCGCGCGATCACACGGCTCGCGCCCACATCGCCTCGCTACCTTTCCCTGTATTTTTAAGTAGACACCGCGGGGTCTTTTCACCCATCGCTTACCGCCACGCACTGCGTCTCGCGCTCGTGACCCAGGTGATCGCCCTGCTAGGCCTCCCACACGTGCTGCGATTACAGGTGTGAACCACTGTGCCTGCGCGCTTGGTTTTCTCTTTCAATCTTAGACGCCTGCTGCTTTGTTTCTTCAGCTTTTGGT